TTTAAAATTTACTTAATTTATTTTTAATTTATACCTGCACAAATTTAATATCGTATATGTGAGAGAGATTAGTAGTTCAATGGGAATGAAGTTAAGAATTGAAAAATATTTGAAAGGTTTCGACATCAAGGTGCGCATTTTACCAAACGGATATATGGCGAGCGAAAATTGTACGGTTCAAAATTATTCTAATCTCATTCAAGTGTCATCGTTTCTCGCATTCTTTCTCGATCGTCTCCATTTTGATAGATCTGCGTCACGAGCCCGTGATAGTTTGCAGAATCGCGAGCATACGATTAACTCGATGTATTTATTTATACATGCATTTCTCGTCACTTGTCAATCGATAACAGGGGTTCGAGTGCCACTGCGTGCACCTCGACCTCTCCACCTCCTCTTCGCGGACTCCGGTCCAGCCTCGAGGATGATTTGATGCGCGGCAACAGCCTTCTGTATCGGCCGCGAGGACGGCCGTGAGAGAAACGAAGAGCGGAAAAGATATATCGCGAGGAGAGAAGAGAATCCTGCTGAGATATGGAAGTGGGTGGTGATTCGGTCGCGTGTGCGTGCGTTGCGTTCGCGTCGCGAAGAAGGCGAAGGGTGAGAGCGGCCGATGTGAGACGGGGCGGGCAGGTCGGTGACGGTTATTTTTGGAATGTGGGTCACCCATAAACCCCGGCTTGTCCCGTGACGTCACGGGATCGTCGTCGTGGCAACAGGGACGCCGGGTCAATCACCTTCGGTTCAGAGGTAGCCCTCCCCGCCATCCCCTTTCGCCCTATGATCCGTTCGAGCGCACCACATTCAACCTCATCGTCCCCCCACACCCCGCAGGAGTTCTACCTGTGACCCCCTCCGACAAGAGGGAATAGGTTAAAGGTTACGACACCGATGGTGCACGCATCAGGAGAACCTGCACAGTCTTTCCACCCTCCAGCTCCCGTGCCCTTCCCTTTCTCTCCGTCACCCTCCACATGCACGTAGGTCCGTCCTTCTCGCTCGCGTGCACCACCGTTGCGCGGGATTTAGGCTCTAATATCAGAGGTGAACGTCAAGGAAAGTGACCGTATAGGGCTGATTAAGCAATGCACGGACAGTGCCGAGTATATAATTATGATCCTGATATTAAGCGGTCAGTGTGAACAGCGTAAACTTTGATAAGGTTACGGGATGCGAAGTGACGCGGAAATTCTATTTACACCTGACCGCGTATCATTTTGGAAGCCGTCTTGTCAAAGGAGATGCTAAAACATCGACCTTGGTATATCAAGGAAGGCGGGTTGACGCAGAGACCGCGGAATCTTTGTTAGCAAAATAGTATGAGTATAAACGAACTGTTTAGATTGGAGACGTTTCAAAATTATGAAAAACATAGACATTACAAGAAAGTTTAATACAGCAAATATAGAAATTTGACAGTCTTGAGTTCGCAATGTGAAAAACTTTTTTACTCGTGACCTTTTGTGAAGATCATTATCACTTTTTTAAATGGTTAATTATATGTATATTTTTTGTGAGTGTATGCCACAAGTTTTCCAAAATCTCAACCATTTTCTAAGGAGTGCGGCGCATCCACCAAACAGGGGTAGTCTCTGCGCTCCTATTCCGCGGCCACTGGGTTGACGTTACAGGGCGTTACAGAATTAACATTCTTTCGCTTTATTTTAATTAAGAAAAAATACTAGCGGCAATAGAGATACGGTACGCATGTTGATCAACCTGCAATATATGCGGTCTTGCAACACGCAATCTTTATAAGACAGCGTCACCGCGACATAGTTACATACACATTTGTTACACATACACGTACGAATACGAATACAAGGGGAATTTTATAGCGGCGAAAAAAGCTTTTTTTCATTAAACTATGCAGCCATGAGAAATGAGGATATCTGGTATATTTACAAATCTTTCGTTTTACTCACAACTACCTGTACAGCACGCATGTCTAAAAGACATCTTTAAGACGTCTTTAAGACATACATATTTAAAAGACGATTTAAGAACATCTTAAAGATCTTTTAGACATAAACGTGTTGTTTGAGTATATTATGGAGCCGTGTAAACGTTATAATAAATGCTCCGTTCAACTACTATAGATTGGCATTCTTAAAATAACACTTGAACTTAAAATTTATCTGATCCCAGCAGACACCAAAGTAACAGTTATATAACACGCACGTGTTATGCTACATTTATATTGATGTTATGTAACTGTTACTTTGGCGTTTGGAAACATTTTACTACACTTAAATTTTTATGTTACGCAGTAATAATCAAATGACGTAGACTTAGGACTAAAAAGTTATAATATTGGTGCCGTAATATAAAAATTAATAAAAAGCAGTATTAAGATGAGGAAAAGAAAAGGAATCTTTGAAAAAGTTTCTGAATTCCCTCGTAAGTTCTCGCCATCTTCTGGACTACGTTCGCATCTACAATACATCGCGAGCTTTATTCGGCTGTAATTTTGCAGAGAGCTGTATTATCCGTCCCTACTATCAATAAAGTGCCCGACCGAGTCTCGATATGTGTCTGTTCACGCACGCTTCTTCTACTTGCGCACCCTCCTTTCTCCTGGTAAGGTTTCATCGATTCTTCAGAAATCGACTGAATTGCGGTGCAAGGGAAAGACTTGCAAAAAGGATTTTCATACAAAAAAATTATAGTAACGTGAGAAATATTAAAGTGCATAACGGGGTTACCGATAATGAAGTTCACCGTAGATATGTTACCTGTGTTAAATATGACATATGTGTAGTGTGCCACGTAACCGACTTGGTGGTGTTCCGCTTAAAATTCTTCGTCCCGTGCTTTCGATATGAAACAATTATGGATTATTTTGTTCCTTTTTCAATTAAAATTTTTCGAATTTATGTAATTCTCTTACTTCAAAACAGGTCTAAAATTATTTGCGTTTCTCTTTTTTCTTTTTCGTTTTCGTTGTAACTATATTCAGAATTATGAAACAAAATGTTACTATCAATTTTATACGTATGTATAAGTGTATTAATTAATTTCTTTTAGTTTTATACAAATAACCATAATCAACACTTTAGATTCGTATAAATGCACGTGTCTTGATGCGTATTTAATATAATTTAAATATAACTTTCTTGAAATATTTTAGGTGAATTTAATAATGAAAAGTAAAAAAAGACTTACATGATGTATAATAACTTTACAATACAAATTATTATTCACAGTGGTAAAAATAATATGTAAAGTGATTCTTAATATGTGAAAATGTTTTTACAAATGGCTTACTTAAGGGGATCCTTTAGCCATCTTTTTACCGACACAGTCAAATACATATAGTTTTTGCCCTTGTAATTCTTTTCACTAGCCTAACAAATAATATGTATAAAAATACAAACAAGTAGTTCGATGTAGCTAATGAACAATTTGGGAGTGAAAAGATTAATCTCTTGTATATAAAATATCCAGGAATATAACAATACTGCTTTCATGTTTATAATTAATAGCAAATGTCCTCATTTATTTGAATGTATAATTTTAATGTTGATAATACAATAACGCTTTGCACGTAAAATGATATTACATATATTGCAGTATTACAGCACGGTGCTACAGTATAGCTCGTGTGTAACGCAATATTGCTAATCCTTGTATGGATAATGATTATTTTGTATGGATATAACATCAAAGTGGATCATATGCTGACATTCAAAAATATAAAATTACTTGTACCAATATTACACGATACTACACGATTAATGTCATAGGAATACTGATGGAAGTATTTTGCAGAAGATACTATGGAATCGATAAAAAGTAAAATAAAAAATTTCTGAATGTATCTCAAAATGAATCGTAATTTTGTGAAATTCAATGTTCCTACTTTTGTGAAATGTAAGAACTAAGCTATACTGTTTAAAAAGTAATTAATCATAATTATGAAATATTAGATATTATTAAATATAATGAATTTAATAAAAACTTGCGTTACTTTTTAATGAAAATAATTTTTCACTAATTTTTCACGAAATACCGACTAAATGATAATAAAACGGGGTCAATTGAGAGAGATTTTCGAGTTCATCTCAGCAAAATATTTCCACCAGAGACGGAATCACGTTCGACAGTTTTTGCAGATAAGAGATGTCCCACAAGTCCCTCAGAGCGCAATTCGTACCTTCGAGCCAAGAGTTTCATTGAAATTCGACGGTGACATTACGCCGATACGATTGTGTTACGTTCGGGCGCGCCGACGTTTCCGTCATCGTTACCGCGTTTAGTTGCCAAACGGCAACTGCAAGCGCGAGAAATTCAGAAAGTGCCGATAATATCTCAGTTTTTTCCCTACCCAGCTGCGCGAATGGGACATTAATAATTTTCACAAGATCGAAGCGTAAGCTTCTCCTTTTTCATTTTCATCCAGCTGCACGATGTTTCGTATATCCGACTTGTCTCGGGAATGGCATGTTTATGTTCGAATTAGGCCTTTCGTGGGATGGGATGCGACGAAGAATGAAATTATTACCTGCAAAAATAAACATTTATTTTACGCATGAATGTAAAAATATTAATATAATATTCCGCCCTGTATTAACACGAGTAGATTAACTCACTTGAAATTACATCTGTTTTACGCAGAATTATATTTAAAAGTGTATGAAGAGGAATTTACTTGTAATAGTCTTCTATAAATACGTTAAATATTGCACCTTTGATTAAAAATTGCAGCAACGTTAAGCTATTCTATATCGGAATGACTATTACTTCTGAATAGCCTAATTAGTGACGTTTGAGGGTGAACGAGTTCAAGACCGCACCGTTCTTGTCTCATAACAGCGACGGTAATACGTGGCGAGCGAGATCAGAAGGCGATCCGGCGAACGAACGGGTAAGCCTAGCGAACGTACCAAGCGGGCTCGACTCCGTTTTCAGTTTCCGATTATTTTTGGCAACAAGCAGAGCGGGCAGAGCTCTCGCCTAAAAATGCTTACGACCAGTGGCGTGCCGTCATTGGTCGTGCCTGTACCACGTGAACGGCCTACGGTGGAGGTTCACGAAGTCGACGAGGTATCTACGACGGCACAGTCAGCTGCCTAAGGTCCGGTTGGCTAGTCGCAGCCAGCGAGCTTTCTCCACAAGGTAAGCCCTACACTTCCCGTAGTCCTCGCGATTGTCGCCCCTCGCTATCGTCGCAGCGCGAGAGCGTCCCAGAAGGCATCGATCGTCCCGTGTTCTTCAGGAGGAAGCCTGAAGAACCTTGGGACAGGAGACAAAAATGGAACCCCCGCGATTTCCTCCAGGGACTAGTTGTTGCTCTTGAAATGCCATTTCGTTATCCGAGGAAAATCGTTGTTGGGAAGTTCTCGCGCTCGAGTGTCAGTGAAACGAGTGGCTGTACAAAAGATACTTTTCAAGGTTGTGACGATTGATTCGCCCGAGACTCCCGAGACAGTGACCGATCGGCGATCATCGACCGAGCAATCGCTCGTCTCGAAAGTGACGCGCAGTTGAAAGTGATGGACGAGAACTTGTTCCGTTTAAGGTTCCCGTTGTAATCGGTTATTCGGGATGCTTTGTAAAATACGTGTGCACCATCCTCGGACCTTCTTGGTTCACGTTTTAATTTTTACGAAGAGAAATCGTAGATTTCCTTCCCACTCGATGGAAACGGCCTTATATCGTTATCTTGATTATCACCTCGCGATTAATTCCCTTGGGATTTACAATATTTCGATGAAAGGCAAATTTTTGTATTATCGTCTTTAATTTAAAAAGATTCAACAACGTGGGGCGTAGCTCGTCCTACGGCCAGGTATCTCGTTTTAACCATCTCAAAATCTCAATTTAATGAGATTTAGCGAGGTGTCTATTTTTACGGTGCCTGCCTCTTTGATATCGGAGATGGTACGTGCGTCTCGATAGGATAGGACGTGTCTCGGAATGGTTCGCGAGCGCGAGGAAATCTATACTTAGCAAAGGCGATCGTCCATCGTGAACACAAAAGAAGGCGCTGCAGCGAGTACGGTCGTCGGATGAAAAGAATCTGATCACTCTACAATTTTTATATATTAAAAAAAGAATCTCGATACGTCGCTCTCGCGTTGACAAATTCGCGTCACTCGTGACGCAAGGCAACAAAATTATATCCCGATTATGCAACGCTCGCTCGAATTCCACGTCAGCCATGGAACGCGCCGCGCGGAGATCAAAAGGCAGAAAATATATATATAGAAACTAAGCGTTATACCATCTCGCGAGAATCTTATTTTCCGCGAAAGGATCCTGTAACTGTGCAGAAAATATTTCTCGACGGTAATTTTCATCAAAACGGCATACGTTATAGGAGAATTATCGTGCGTTCCTAATAAACAAGCAAATGCAAATAGCAATTATTATAAACAAAATGAGAAATGACGAGAGTGCGTTATGAGGGACAGCGCGCGCTTAAATAATTCCACTTGGGTGTCATTTCGTATATTACTAATGACATCTTATTTCGCCGTAGTCGAGTCGTTCGTTACGACGTCGCGTTACGTTTCGCCAGTGGAACCGTGACGTTCCTAAGTATTTTTGGAATGCGGAATGTCGCTACGGACGAGGCACAATCTATCTTCTTGAACGTTTCGGGCGTCTTGCGACAACGAGAGCGCGGCGTCGCGCGAGCTAAACGCGCAATTGTTATCTCCCTAACGGAATTGCACAATTTCGGATGCGCGCACCAGAAGTTTACCTATATAAGTTATCTGTTTTGAAACTTCCCGGGACATCGCGCGCCTCGTCTCGCGGCGAGTCGGCGGCTCCGTCGCGATTTCCGCGACGTCTGGGAGAGCATCGCGCTAATAAGAGGGATCGGCTGATATATGCGCGAGATATTTTCCCCTCGAGTACCGTCATCTCCCTCGAACGAGATGTCACTCGCAAATAGCGCGACGTTGCTGACGTGCATACTCGTCTCCTCTCCCTTTCCCGCCGTCGCAAAGACGCGCGCGGCTCTGTTTATCCGCTCGCCTCGCCGTTTCGACATCGAATCCAGCTGTAGCCGGCGGCGGCGGGATATCTACCGTTTGGCCCTTGCATCCAAATTTGGATCGTCGACGTTACCCGACGTCCCGACGACGGCACGTCGCGGAAAGTGGGGGACGGCCGGCGTCTATTTTCGCGCGCCGGATATTCTATACCGCCGTCGCGCATCGGGCGAGACCCACGCTCGCCTTTCCGCCCCGCGCGGCGCGTTTAACGCGGCGAAAACTGCGCGCGTGAGCCCCATGAATTATCGCCACGGCGAATCGATCGGTCGGCTCGAGGGAGACACGTCGATCAATTTCTTCCGGTTATCCGCCATTTTACTTCCGTCGGACGCGCCGACGGACGTCCGAGCGCCTCCATTTTACCGTCGACGTCATTCCGTCATTATCTGAGCTCTACTCGCGAACGCGGAAGCGTTTGACCACCGCTGAACGTCCCCCCAGGTGGAACGTAAAACTCATTGTGACGTCATTTACAGGTGACGAAGTGACGTCGTCGTGACAGGAAAAGGCAAGCGTTTCCAGAAAGTCGAGATGGCATAATTTGAATTTTTTATGACGTTGCACTCTGACTTCTAGATCTCTCGCCGAGAGACCGCAAATCGCTCGCGCATACGAAATGATAAAAATCTAGCAGACATTATTATATTTACGAATTTGTGAAAATATTTGATTTTTAAACTATTGGTATCCTGATTTTCTGCTCACAAAGATACAAAATAATAGAATACAAATCTTAAAACATATATTGCACTGTATTCTTATATTAATATCATTTTTGTTATAAAAACATTTTGTATCCATTAATATTTATTATTGCCATATTTAAGGTGGCTCCTGCACGAAGGAGCGGTTAGTACGGGTACTTTGGTGGGAACCCTTTGATTTTTATAAATCCATATGACTTTTTTCATGAAAAAATATCACTTAATGCGTTATTGATCGAATTCATTGATATGCTAGGTTATATATGCACATTTAAATGCACATTAAAAACATATTTAAAAATATGTGATATTATCAAGTCTCAAAGAGCTGTCAAATTTCCTCGAAACTTTGTATCTTTGGATTTTACTAACAAGTTTGCTCGCAGAGGTCGGTGACCTCATATACTTAATAGCACATTTGAATCCTTGTGACATTTAGTATGTTCATCTCGTTTTTTGATAGTATACTTTTCCTATTCTACGAGCGATCGGCCCGCAACCCCTATCCCAGTGAACACCAAGTAATAGTTGCATAATATCAATATTATAATTTCCTACTTAACAATGTAAATGTAATATAACATTATATTACATTTATCTTGTTGGGTAGGAAATTATAATATTGATATTATGTAACTGTTACTTGGTGTTTACTGGAACGTTAAAAAATACAACTTTAATATTTTTTCTTTATTTTATTTCATCGGCGACCGGGTCTGAAATTTCGCGTACCGATAGATAAAATTTACAACTACAGCTCGCGGTGAGATGCGGCCGTCCCGCGATCGGCGTTGCTAGGCGCGCGGGGAATTGTTCATGACACACGGCAAGGGCTACGTATAATAAGCAACTCCCCGCGCGCCTAGCAACGCCGATCGCGGGACGGCCGCATCTCACCGCGAGCCTGAATTGGGCTAAGGCAGCGATTTTTAATAATTAACAACTCGTTAGCTATTGCGAAAATTGCAAAGGACTTTCCGACTCAGTCTAGTCCGCTCTATCCGTAAAGAAGAGGTGATGCGAGTATTACGTAACACCCTGTTTAATGCATAGAATAGCATCTTATACTTTACGTCACTTTACGATATTCTCCAAAGATAATTCTCAGAATCTAAGATCTGCTCCGTTAGGATAGGAAGCCGCGAACGCTGGCGCTTATTTATTTTAACGACCAGATGATTCCGATGGTACTATTAATAGCGCGGGTTCATCAGGGTTTCGGTCAGTCTACATGTATAGCAATAACGTTTGCACCATTCTCCATTATTTTTCTAGGTAGACGCGCGTAACGACAAGACACCACCATGGCGGACGATGAGGTTAGGTGTGTATTCCCCTCTGGACCTTTATCGCGTTTTCTTTTTCTTTGCGTCTTTATTCGTTATTTAAGAGCCCAACGGTGGAGAGAGGACCATGGCACACGATGCCGTGAAAACGCGTACCGGGCGTTTCTTAATGTCACGTTCTCTTTTTCATATTTCATCTTCGATGGATTTTTCGCTGCTGCATCATCTTCGGACGACGGAAACGCTGAAATACCACGCAACATCTTACGCGTCGGACTCGTGCAGTAAAATTAGCATTACCGTCGAAAGGTACGCATTGCTTCCGCTTTGTGTGATTCTGCGAGAAGCCGTTGACATAAACTGTAGTTCTAGAAAAGATAGTATAGACCTTGTCAATAAAAATAGAACAGTGGTTCTACTCAATGTCTTTACCGCGAATCCTTCGATTCGTATTGTCGGAAGGTGCATTTGACGGACTCTGTTCTCTCAGCGCGGACTCGAGAAATCTAAGTTAAACACGTTCTTGGCGATTCTTGATTTAATTTGTTATCACCGAGCCTGTTAATTTTATTATTCCTAGAGGTTAAAATCGAATTCCGTGCCGCAGATGTTTTACCGTGACGTAACAGGGTCGCGCCGTCCTGAGAAAATATAAAAGCCCTGCCTCAAATACACCTTTCTGTGAATAAATCATTTTTCTTCAATATTATACTTCTACGGCGTCGAGCTTTTACGTGTAAAGCCCCGAGGACTTCGAGCAGACCGAGCCTCGTTTTTTTTTTCCTACAGTGGCATTTTGAAGCAGCTTAGTAGAGGATATAGACGGTGGTCAAGGATGAACCACATAGTTTGCGCGTCCTGAAAAAGATTTATATGCTACGTAGAATGACGGGGCGATCATGGAAGCTCGCTTCTCGTCGTGATTATCCCTCGCTCCACCTTTTTATCCTCCCGCAAGAAACTTTCCACGATCTCCCAATATCTCCCGGCCGTTTCGTTCCCCGCCGCACTCTCGTTCTTTCATTTGCTTGCACTTTGATACTCTCTCTTCGTCTTCAATACTTGATTTTTACATCTCGGAAAAGAAGTAGCCCCGAACGCGCGGGATTTTCCACCGGTCTGGCGACCTTCGTCCCTCCGCGTTCTTAAATAAGCAATTCGTACCCCACGCTCTTTACCCCGATGACTGTGACAGCATTCCTCCGTAATGTCCACCACGCGGACGACAATTCTTCGTTTGTGCGATGGGATAGAGTTTTCCTTCGTATAATGAAGCCAATTTGCGCGGCGCGTACCGCAAATGTAAAAGTTAATGAAGGTTTTCGGAGCCGTGCGGCGGGGAACATATATCCCGCAAATTTCACCGTAAAATTTCCGCTCTGTAGGAAACGGGAAATGGGACTGGTCGTATTACGACCGACATGTCCGTTGTCTCCGTTATATGCTCCGCGGCCCGACTTTTTGCCTGATTTATCGCCACACTCTCGCCCTTATTTCGGCATTATTTAACGCGGACCTCTCCACTCTCGTTCCGAATCTCCTCGTCTTACTCTATATCTTTTCTCTCCCGGCCGCCCGGGCGGGCTATTTGTCACTCGCGTTATCCTTACGCGAGCAAAGTCCCTCCAGATTTTCAATCGCAGATTCAAGTCCAACTTGTGATCTCCCTGATTTGTCGATCTCGGTGTACCGTAATAATTTATGCCCTCACCCCTGCGCCTTTATCGCTGCTCTTTCCAGATCGATTTACCCTTCCTCTCCGCTGTTTCTCTCCTCGGTTGCACTTACAAGACCGAGTCCGCTCGCTCGTCGCGATTTAACTCCTTCCGCTCACGATGGCACGGGGGAAATTTTGTCTTTAAAACGAGAAAATATTTGGTATTTGCCGGTGTACATCGCGAGGCAAAACTCAGCGCAACTGCACTCAATGGAGACAGCGTCTGCCGGATCGGTAGAACTTCCATTTACTGATTAAAACCGTTACGTGAACATAGTTTTCCGGACAAGGTTCGTTTATTCGGAGTCACGAGCGATAACTTAGCAATGTCGACGCAGGGAACGTCTTCTTTATACAAACTTTCCATTGATAATTACGAAGCTTGCATTATGTCGCGGTGTACAGTTAAAGCTATTTCATTCGTTCGCAAACTGTACAGGATGTTGCAAGCTCCTAACGTTCGGATCCTTTACAAAAGGTTCATTAAGGAGATTAATAGATTTAAAATAATCCTATGTAATCTTGCAGTACTGCAGTACTTTGGGAAATCATTATAATGCTGTAATCGTTTAACAAAAAAAAAAGACAGGCAGTTGAAATTATATATTGAATGATTCTCATTCCTCGCTGTGCCATTGTGAGCAAACGTTCAACAGTCTTTTCCTAAGGACACTGTCTCTGCTTCTCCTTCAATCGAAACTAATGTGTATACATTGGAGAGCCATTATAGTAAAACATAAAACTCTCCCGAGAGCGCGCATCATAGACAAACATAAAACACAATCAAACTGGGGTAAAGTAGACACCAAACTCGCATGCAGAGTGATTTTTGTCCCACGACTCTTCTTTGCGGCACTATATGTCTCTAACGCTTTACCTTCCTCTCATTACAAATGTATGAGTGTGCAATATATTTAATGTCACCAGAGTTCGCAGCACGCACCGCACATAGCAATATGTGAAATTCAAATCGGCGGAAAAAGGGTTAATAAAAAGTGTCAAAGAAAGAAAAGGAAGCTCGTCACATTTTTACTCGCACCTTACAACCATGTGCTCGTCAATTATTAATAGCGTTCATAACAACTGTCAGCAAAGTTTATCTAAGCGTACGACACGCTTAAGCTGGTCTACAATAGACGCAGCAAGTTGTAAGCCGCGAGAAATTGACCAATTACAGTCAAATATGACAAGAATAATAGACTGTCATTGGTCGATTTCTGCTTGCGACTTGCTGCGTTTATTGTAAATTCAGCCTTAGACCTGTTCTACAGTACGTCGTATGTAGCCGATGGTTCAAATTTCCTTTTCGAAAAAGAAATTTTCTCAAATTAATAAAATTCGTATGGCTCAAATGTGATGAACACAAATTTGAAGGAATAAAGGACTAAGAGCCGTGGCAGGGTGTTAGTGTCCAACTATTTCATATTTAAAATTTATTGCGACAAAATATTACCTCGGCCAGGGTTTGAACCTGGATCTGCCTCTCACTACACCCTCAGAAAGGACTTCTGTCACCGAGACAAAAGATATTCTTGACGCATTTATATTTCTCGCAGCCTCATTTAGTATAAAAATAAGACAATATCAAAATAGAATCCATAATTCTTACTCTCCGCTATCAAATTAAAAAAGACTGACTCACTTATTGAGACAAGAGTAACTTATATAAATGTAAGTTTATATATTCTTGCGTGTAGAATAAATTGTCCCTCCATCTTACAACGCACGAAGATAGCACCGCGATACTCGACAAAAGACTATCATTTTATTCTAGATTTTACAATTTTTCATTGAGGATTAAAATATTCCTTTCTCTACAATAAATATGATTGGCACTATATAGATCCTATTTTATGATACATTCAAGTGTAGTAGCATTGGATTCGCAAATTTTTTCTGTCTGAACACTCTGAACCAATTCGACCGTCGAGGCATATAAAAAACTTTTCTCATTGGACCATCGGCTACGTTTCGACATCCGACAGCGACGTATGGCGTATTGCAGAAGAGGCCTTATAATAATAACGTTACTCGCGGCGTTGCAACGCCGTTTATTCGGAGTGCCAAGGTTTAAAGCTACCGCTTCTGTACGCGATTTATTTTCGATCCACACGCCGGTCGTTGAGATCTGCACGGCTTGCAGAAGGCAGAGCTAATGGTCGGCCGAGTAGAGAGCGTAATGCTATAAGCGAAACGCGACAGTTTGCGCAAAACGATATTACAAGATGCTCGCTGTTGTAGCGCTTAACGGCGACAAAGTTATATCACTTAAGACAGACTCCATTAGCTCTGCGTCGTCATGAAACACGCGAAAACACGAGCGCTACGCTAATGCTTTGTAAGGTACTCCATGATGGCGAAATCTGGAACACCAAACGCGCAATCTTTCCTCCCTCTCGAACTCTCCCGCTCCCTCCCTGCTCCTTAGTCGCCATTCAGAAATATCCTCTTTCACAGTCGAAAGGATCGCGCTGCAAAAAGTGTTTCAGATATCGCCGTACATGCGACCCACGACACAGAGAATATACTAACGAGAAATGTTCTTTCTCTTTTTTTTTGCAGAGAAAGCGCATCGAGGATGTACGTAAGAGAGAAAACTAGCTATGAAACGTAGAGTCGCCTCTTAAAGGACGGCCACTTACCAGGCGGATGAAAGGAATCCTTTCATCAGAACAGAGCTTACGCTCGTTTTATTACGAAATAAAATCCATTGCGAATATTCTAAATTAACGATATTAATTTTGCGAAAATAATCAGAAACCACGGTTCCTTCAAGTCAAAGCTGAAATATATGAAAATTCCTTATGCTTTTGCGTAATCGACGGTTCTACACGTGATGGAATTAATATTCCAGTGTTCGGGAAAGTTGATATTTCTTTTTCTCTGGCACACGTTTTATTAAAACGTATCAACGTTGGTGCTTACGCACTTTTCTAATATACTCAATTCAAAGAATGTATTATTACAGCAATTATTGCCAATTTCGTACCTGCGCTTGCTCGTGAATTTAAGACGCGCGAAAGTTTAGCTAAAAGCGGTGGGACGGGAGCGAGTTCGAATTGCGCAACACTTTCCAAATTCGCGTTTCACGGGACGCTTCAGGGCTTTCTCAGATGAGATGTTTTAAGGGAGTTTCGCACGAAAAATGCAGGAAAAGAAGAGGAAACAGGCGGAGACCGAGAGGAAGAGGGCGGAGGTCCGCGCCCGTCTCGAGGAGGCTTCCAAAGCCAAGAAGGCGAAGAAGGGTTTCATGACCCCCGACAGGAAGAAGAAGCTTAGGGTAAGTCCGCTTTTTTTGTTTCCACCCCTTCTTCGAAGTTGGTCGCGCCGCGGGCGGAGGGGAGGGGGAGTTCTCGCGGAATATCCTCTTTAAAAACTCGATCGCGACAAGTCCCGCCGCGAGTCCTCGGTCATATTTCTCTCTAATGGAAAACGCGTGGCGTTAATGCCGCGCCAGGTTTTCAAAAGTGTGCTCTATATTGCATCGCATCACTACCCCTGGCCGCATCGAATGTTCATTATCGACGACCAAGTCCGCGCGCCTCGTTCCCGATTTATCTCATTGCCACATCGCACGCCATAATCTTCCCGCGCGTTGTCCGAGCGATATCGCGATAATCCTCTTTGCGCCCCTCCGCGCCCCGTCTAGCGAAATATTTCTCGCAACTGCCGCACATCCATTTCTCTATTACTTTCTCCTATTCTCCTCGCTGCCCCTCTTCGTCCCCCAATGTTTCCCAGCCGCCGGCGTCCGGGGCGTCCGAAACTTTCCTCCAAGTTTATCTCGCCTTTTTACCTTTACTTTATGGTCCCGTCTTACATTCTGTTTCCATCGTCGCGCAACATCCTGCAGAACATCCCGTGCGCGCCTCTTCCCTCCCCGATTCCCCCCCCTCGATCCTCTCTTCGTTCACCGTCGCGAACATTCGCGGGCGCGGTACACAAAGTTTCCCCGTGTGCATGCAGATTACCTCTCGGAGAATCTTTTTGCGCTCGCCGGCTCCGCCGGCATGTTATTTTCCCATAAATCCACCTTCCTTCCTTTCGCCGCGTCAATATTTGCTACCCGCCGAATTCCGACCGACGCCGTTATCCCGCCGTTGACCGAAAGAGAAAGGCGTTAGCCGCGAGCTTAAATTATTTCGCGGGTGAACCGCGCCCGGAAATGTTCCTCTCGAGTCGAGCGTTGTAAGTTTAACACGTCGTGGCTCGAATTAATTCATTCCCATTTCGCCTTTCTGTTATTACACGGCACACATTTATATATAGACACAAAGATTAATTACTCATACGGTGGCTGCGTACGACTCTATTTGTTTTAATAGCCGTTTTAATGTATAATTAACCGATTGCGTAATGAGCAACTTTATATTTATTAAATAAGCATAATAATAATCCGCTTCGTTGCGTACGATTTAAATGGTTTATAGCAGACTGAATGTAAATTCCCATTTTAATTATGTCGATTTCATGCTATTAGGAATCGATTCGTCGTCGCAGCGAATCGCGCAAACATTTCGGAGTAAATATTCCCGGCAAAATTCCCCTCTCGTCTGCACGCGAAACGTTTTCTCCCCCTATCGAGCCGAATCTCACGATTTCATGCGTTTACAGTTGCTGTTGCGTAAGAAAGCCGCCGAGGAATTGAAGAAGGAGCAGGAAAGAAAAGCGGCCGAGAGGAGGCGCATAATCGAGGAGCGCTGCGGAAAACCGAAGATCGTCGACGACGCCAACGAAGGTAACTTTGCTTCGTTACGTAATCCTACGGAAAGTCGCGATTATGATATTTTTTAGACGGAGTGGCCCCTTGGCAGACTATTTCCTCTATTCGGGCAAAGTTCGCGTTTGTCCCCGGCGTATAAAACCGCGCGTCTGCAAATTACGGTCTTACTCGAGCGATCGCTCTCGGTTGACAGCAAGGATCGTTGCCTAGAATTAACAAATTCGAAACGTCGTCGATACGAATAATTTCCTTTTTTAATGTGATATTTAAGAAAAGATCTCTCACAACTGTGCGAAGTTGCATTTATGTAGCGAAAAATTCCACTTCGCAATAATGAATAATAATACGCAATGTTCACCTTCACAGGCCGAAACTTTGAGTTGCTACATTTCCGAGCGTGTTTTAAAGATCGTTGGATGGTAAATTTTCTTTCTCGCAAGTGCAGAAATCGCGACCGAAAGTACGACAATTGGCATACGATTTTCAAGATTAAATTATTGTGTCGCCGTAAGATTTCTTTCTAATCTAACTTGTAGTGACTTTTCAGTCCCGATTGAAAACAAAGGTGTACGCGAGTAAAGGCGCAATAACCGCGCGAGACACGTTTCGGGCGATCTGAATGCGCTTACGCGACGCACCTCGTGCGCGTCTTCATTTTGCTTTACATTATTTTGTTTCTGCTGAACCACACAGAGACCCTAAAGCGCGTGCTGCGCGACTACCATAGTAGGATCTCGGCATTGGAGGATAAAAAATTTGACATCGAATATGTTGTTAAGAAGAAGGACTTCGAGGTACTTTTGAGAGAGCAACCGTTGCGAGAACGTTTACGCGACATGCAGTATGATAACGCGGCATTCACGATACAGTAACAACGGCGCTCAATATTGTTGCACTTGTGTATCGCCAATCTCCGCCCGGTTGCACGTCTACGCGCAGCGACGACGAACATAATTAGAGTTTTGGCAAAGAGACCGGCGCGCCGCAAGATTATTGATTGCACAACTTTGCGATATACCGGCTGTATTTAGCCGTCGTCGATATGCTCGAAAATAGCGATCTAAGTGATTACACGAGCAATAAAAAAAAATGGAGCAGTCCGCTCGAGATTTCTCACGAAGGAGAAATAGCGAGATCGAAGAGTATCTTCGTAGTCTACGACGGTTATTCGCTATAATAATAATTTTTTTTAACATCATAATATATTGAAAGCTTTCATTCTCGGACTTGGAGGACTTGTAATTTCGACCACTTTGATCAACGAGCCGCTGAGTAATCGTTATCGGAGCGCTTGGCGAATGATTAACGGTTCTTTACTGAAACTTGAATCCGTTCGTCGTAGCTCGCGTTCCGCGGTCGGGCAGGAGACACGAGCTTCGCATTCTTACGTCGCACCGTTTTTCCATTCACACTTTTCTTTTCTATTTCTTTGATCTCTACGTAACACAAAACTGCCGTCGATTTTCGTGATTCTGTCCGCATCCTGTTTTTCTTCGCATTAATGTGCGCGCGATTTCTCATACTGTCTTCTGTCTCTCTCTCTCTCTCTCTGCTCTCTTCGTTTTAATCTTCTGTCCGTGGACCTCTGGCGACTTGAATGGCGACTTAAGAACATTACGGACTATTCGCATCTTGATTATTGTGTTAATACGGCTTATTACTACTCGCTCTACTTTCGCAAAAACGCGAATACAGTCAGAATAACAGAATAACATCTCTCAATTTTGAAACACGTCAGATACACTCGAATAATAGATTATTATACACTGCTTCCACACACAGCACACGCCATAATATTTTTAACTGACTTTTATTTACGAAAAACCTCCGATGCTTTTTTCTTCGCTCTGCGAAGTACTGTACAATCCACCGTCTCCCCACTACGCCATTATTTTCAATCTATGCGCGAATATCTCTATGTGCATCCGTATCTTCGCTCCTGCACGCAAGATTGTTTCAAATTTCGCAGCGACGCTCGCGAGAGTCGTTCCCGGGAGATGGTTTAAGAACTCGCTTTCATCCGCTGGAAACTTGAGACAGTCTTCGCACCGCTGCGGTACAGCGACAGTTTATAACATTTCGACTTAGCTTTCACACACACGCCGGTCCCCCGGTTTCACAATCCCTCTCCCAGACTCACGCCTTCCACCCCCGCAGCTTCGAGTCGTACACGCGAAACGGACCCCGCGTACGTATCGCATTCGCGAAAAGTTACATTTATCCACCGTAGCACGTAGCGAATATTGCGGTGCCCACGACGTAAACGGCTAAGTCGCGAGCATTTTTTCAAGGAGTGACTTGAATTTCAACAGCTAGCGTGAAGTCCACTCTGACCCAGTATCATAAGAGGATCAACGTTCTCGAGGGGGAGAAGTACGACCTTGAGTACGAAGTCGCCAAGAAGGATATGGAGGTCGAGAGAGTTTTTTTCCGTGGCAAAAAACGAGAGATGAGCTGCGATTAACGCCAAACACTCTTTCCTATTCGTCTTTCTCTCATCTTTCTTCTCTTCTTTCACGCGCGAGGCGCTATATCTGGCGGCTGTTCCGATTTGCATAAGCTGCCCGTAATAATATTTAGACATAGACATCTGAGTATTTTCTAGCAGCAGCTCTCTAACGTAGTTACCCCTCGCGACTCGTAGAATCGCTCCACGTAGATCCGTCTCATTGTCAGCAATGTTAATCTCTCGCAGGCGCCATGAGTAGAAAGAACCTTGTTCACTTTATACACCTGCGAGTACGCACTACCAGGCTCAGAGCCGCTCCGCAGCCCCGCGTTTCTCTCATCCCGTTCATTTCCCCTAGTCGAATCCTTTCCCCCTCCCTCCTACCACCCACTTGCCCCCCGTGGCAGGTTAACGATCACGCAATTGTCAGCTTCGTGCTTCTCGCTTCTAACGCGAAAGACTCATTTCTTTTCTATTCTCCCCACGATAATTTCATCTCCTCACGAATAATCCTTCGTAGTGATACAAATCATCACGGAAAACCCCGCGGGCCGTCACATGCATTTTTCATCACATTTTTAAACATCGCCAAGTTTACTTATTTATTTTTCTTTAATGAAAAGACGCAACGGGACAATTCGCTGATACGCTAGGAATGACGGCAAATCGAGATTGTTATCCTTCCTATCGGTATCGACGAATTGGATAACAGCCCTCGCAGTTTTACATCTTTATGCCAGTGCCGTAATTAATATTTTAGTTCCATCGGTTTTTTTTCTGACTTTTGAAGCTGTAATTTTTAAACTGTTACAACGTGATAACGAGTGGATTTTTAGACAGCCGGGAATAACGAAACACATTCAGCGGACTCCATTTTGCGTTTTTTTTTCCAATAACTTTTTGTTCTTTTAGCCGAGCTGCAGACGATCTGTTCGGCATATTGGAACAGACTATACTTACTCGAGGGCGATAAGTATGACCTCGAGAGGCAAATTAAGTTGAAAGAGATGGAGGTAATTACGATCGGCTTGCCTAAAGAAGAGAGAGCCTGTCGAGTTACCTGCATAGATTATTTTTTGATCCAACTTTCACCCCTTCTCTCCCTTATTTACGTGGTTTTTTTTAACTCCGCCACGTGCTTGACCGAGCGACATCCTTGGTCGAACGGTTCTCGAAGGCGTTTCTGGTTGACGGGTCTTTGAACCTTCGGTTCGAGCACGTTTGCACGTCTCTTAGATAGGGAAATGTCGCGAGGCACTAACGTTCCAGACTCTCAATGGGACTTTGAGGACAGTTTGGCGGAACGTAACCAACATTAACTTTTTCATCTGCATTTTTTGCCGCGCGAACCTTAACGTTAACGTCCTTTTGTTTCTACTTTTATTTCGCGCCAACGGCCGTTGCAGCTGCGGTGCAACTTCGACGAGACCAGTTCGCATCGGGGAGCGCTCGCGCGACGAGCAAAAAGCGGGATTTCCTCTTTCACTTTCGTTTCGTTCAAATCGCCTCCTCGCACGATTTTTTCAATCGGTTCCGATTCGCTTGACCGAACAGGCAAGTAAACGAATAACCATGGGGTACTTTTCGGCAAGAAATCGTCGGCATTGCGCGCCGATTTACCCATTTTTTTTTCGCCCATACCACCTCCAATTACGCTCAGGATAGCCCGGGACGTGCGAATGTCGTCGAAGATCGAAGTGTTTCGAAGGTGTTCAGCCGAGGCAGCGCCGTGCACATCCCCCCCGCGAGACATCCGGTAGGGCAACGACAGGGCGTTCTCCATTTTCACGGGACGAGACTTCAGGGTGGAATTACGCCCGCTCGATCGCGCCGGGGGAAAACACTTCCCGCGCGATTAAGCATTCGAGCACCGCGCAACTTTTATTACCGCGCACGTGGAGCGAGAGAGGGACCGCCAATTTACTCGAATCGGAGATTTCGCAAGTTTTGCTTGTTGCTTGTTGGGATCGAGGGGGAGTCTCTCTCCCTCTCGTCGGGATTCCGGCGTCGTTCGCGACGTACTATTAGTATTCGAGCGGCGCAGTTTATATTCTTCGCTAAAATATGTAAAGCTGGACTTACTTGCAGTTTATATACTTCGCTGAAATATGTAAAGCTGGATTTTATATAAGAGGGATTATCCTTCGATATCGCTCGTATAATGTTTATTTATTCGGCGAACAACACAATGTTAATGTATATCAAAGTCATATTTTTCTTTTTAATGAATTCTTCTCTCTTTCCTTTTTGTGTGTTTCAAAAATTAAAATATATAAATAACGGTTTAATTATTATTTATATTTTACGTCTATAATTTAATGGGATGGGATTACTGAATTCCGGCCGAGGGTACTCGTAATATTCCAACGACTCTCACTTTTCCGTGACTCGAGATCCGACGATGATCCTAGCTTTCGCGTGACACGTCGCGCGAGATCGATCACACGCTAGAGCGTGTCTGTCTCTCGCTCCGCCTGTGCCCCCCCCCCCCCCGCTGCCTAAGCCGTCAGAAAAGCAAACATATCGAGGAACCAAAGATTTCTGAGAGACTCTCCGTATTCTTTGTAGTGGAGTTGAAGAAGATTTGCCAAATGTATTACGACCGCGTCCACCTTTGTGAGGGTCAGAAGTGGGATTTGGAGCGTGAAGTTCGGAAAAGGGACTACGAGGTACAGGAAAAGTGAAAAGCAGCGACAACGGCGAACAATGCGAGGAGAAAGAGAGCAACCGCCAGATCGCACGTCTCTTTTGATCATTTCCTCCCACATTGCCGACCCACACGCCCACCCGCGTATATCAGACGATAAGGGTATCCACCCTTCTCCCCCCCCCACCCCCCACCCCCCCCACTGGTCTCTCTCTTCGCGTTGTCTCTCGTTCTCCGCCCATCCCCCTTTCTGTACATACGTTTCTCTTTCGATTGTTGTTCTCTCTTTCACGATGTTTTTTCTTGGCAGAAAGCACATTCGCGGCGGGAACGCAAAGTCCGCTACGAGTCCGCGCGAACCAATGGGGAAAAGTTCCCACTACGGAGACACACGGAAGAACCTTTGACGACGACGTTCTGCCACCCTATGAATCTTTGTAATCTTGATCAGTCCTGTCTCGATAATCTCTAGCCGACGATCTACGACGATCTATCTCTTTTTCTTTCAACGCGATCTTTTTTCTTCTTTTTTTTGCGAAGTGTGACGGAGCAGACGAGAATATCGCGAGTAATCAGGAAGGGGATTTTTTCCTTTTTACGTGGATATGAAGTGCCGCAACCGAAAAATATTTTTGTCGGTCACATATTTTTGCTCGACTCCTCTCTC